GTTCGCGTGGAGCGGTCCTTGAACGGTATGACCTTTGATGGTTTCCCTCGTTCCTGTATTTAGGGGGTCTTCGTTCTTGACGCGAGGGGTCGTGATCACGCCTTCCCGCGTCGACGAGTTGTTCCCTCTCCAAAGGGGGTCATCGCCCGAGTGGTCGGGGCGACGAGCTTCAAGAGATGTCCCGATTATGTCTCTGCAGGGGAGATTAGGGATGTTCATCTGCTTGTTGAGGAGGAGGAGATTGAGGTCTCATGTGTCTTCTCGGGGCCCTCCGGTCGTCCTCAAGCGCCCTCAGTCTTTCCCCTTGTGCAAAGATTAAATAGTTGGTTTGATTGATTGCCGCGGGGACGGGGACCTCGTAGAATTGGATGTGTTGGTAACTCTGGGGAGGTAGCCGATCGTCTTCATGTTGGCGAGGCAGAGATGATGATGAAGCAGTTGCTCTGTCTCTGTATTCAGAAGGTCCGGGCATGTTGACGTTGGGGTCTGTGTTATGGCCGATAGTACTGGTGTTGTCGAGGCCGACATTGTTGTCGGTGATGTTGTTGTTAACGTTGATGACACGGACGTTCAGGTTGTCTAGAGTCTGGTCAGCCATGACAGTCGAGGATTGTTTAGCTTTTGGTCTCAAGTGAATAGAAGACAGGGAAGCTTAGTCTCCTACAAACGACGTCATTGATCTTACTGGATCAGAGATGGACCGTCACAGTTGGCTCGGACAGAAGTTGAGTTAGATGGGAGGGGGTACCTGCAAGACACTCCGATGGAAAAGTAAGAAGCAAAATGAGAAAGCAAGTAAGAGTTCTGAGATATGAGTCGAATACCTGACCCTCTCGGAAGAGAGGATATTTATAGCCCTCAGCGTTGGGCCAAGGTCTCTTTATTGGGCTGATCAAACAGGCCCAACAAAGAGACTGCAAGGTCTACGTGTGTAGTAGGGACCCGCACGTGGCCCCCTACCTAGATAACGTCCTCTACAAGACAGGGAGGATAAGGACGCGATCTTTCCGGGATCATGAAGACTCTGCGAAATCTGGAGAGGTTGGAAGTCAGCCCTACGACTATTTCTAAATAACTATAATTTTTTCAATAATGACAATTGAATATATTATTATTATTATTATTATTATTATTATTATTATTATTATTATTATTATTATTATCATCTTTACTCTTTCACTCATTTTGGGGATACCATCGATGAACATGCATGCCCTTGGCTTTTATCTCAACAACTTTTACTCTATTCTTGCAATATTCATAGAAATGTAAACTCTAAAAGCTGTACACTATACCATGGTTTAAGGTTTTTATTACTATTTGATACACATATCTGCATGAACTTTTCACATTGTTAAACATTGATCATGGTGTCTCAACTCATAATAATAGGTTTCTAAATATGTAATTCTCTGTCACCATTTATTTGTTTAGCTATATGATCTAAGGGTGTTGTATTTCCTTTTTTTCTCTCTCAATAGAAGTGATATGTATTGTTGCAAAAGGGGATTCTGCTCATTGATTACTAATCATTATTATTAATAATGTTATAGACCCCATAACACCGGACAACGGTCCATGTCAAATAGATTCTCTTTCTCCATACTTGTATTTTTATATATGTAGAATGACTCTTAACCCTTATTTGAAAGGTGGAAGTTGGTGGAGACTTACACGGTGTCACTATCTGTCGCAATGCTCCTGTCATTCCTCACATTTTATTTGCAAATGACTGCTTTTTATTTTTTAGGGTCTATACTCATGAAGCCATAACCATGTAAAACATTATTGAGACTTATGAAGCGGCATCAGGGACAATCAGTCAAATTTCAAAAAATTGAGTTTTTTTATAATTGTAATACTCTACAAGTTGTTAAAGATTCTATTACTAGTGTTATTGGTGTGCAAGTTGTTCTCGGTACAAGTAAGTATATGGGGATGCCCTCTATGATTATAAGGAGTAAGAAGGCAATTTTCAAATTTATCAAAGATAGAGTTTGGAAGAAGATCAACTCATGGAGTAACAAATTTCTTTCTGGAAAAAGGAAATAAGTCCTTATTAAATTAGTAATCCAATCTATCATATATCTCATGACCATGTTCCTTCTACCTTACTCCTTAATTAATGAAATTGAAAAAATGACAAATTCATTATGGTGGGGAAAATCAGGTACCAACTCAAAAAGGATACATTGGCTCTCTTGATATAAATTGGCAATGCATAAAAATGAAAGAGTTATGAGTTTTAGAAATCTCACTGCTTCCAATCTTGCTTTAATTGCCAAAAAAGAGCGGCGTATTCTCACTGATCCGCAATGTCTTATATCGCAATACTTCAAAGTTCGATACTTCATTTATACAAATTTCTTTGGCTCATCGATGGCTCATAATCCAAGCTTTGTATGGTGTAGCATCTGTAGTGATAAATTTATTGAGATGAGGAAACACATGGTGTATAGAAGATGGTGTGAATATTCCAATTTGAAATGAAAAATGGCTTAGTGATGGTTCTTCTATTATCCCATCACCTATTTTAATGCAAACTAATAACCATATTTGTGTGTTTGGCCTTCTTTTGCCTGATACCAAAGATTTGGAGTTATCATTTAATGAATACTTTTTTATTCGTTCACAGCAGATAGACGAGTTTAAAGCACAAAGACTAATGGATAATACTCAGTAAGAAGTTCTTATCAACTGATTATCCATGATCTTATTGATACTAGTTTTCTCATATGTCCCGACCATTGACACCTCACTTGAAAGATTAAAGCACCACAGAAAGTCAAGAACTTGATTTGGGGGATATGTAGATACTCTTTTTTCTATAAGAAATAACTCCCAAGACAAAGGTGTTAATTGTCCCATTAATTGTACTATATGGGATGATGGTATAAAAGACTCTCTTCATATATTCTTCAATTGTTTTGATAGCTGAAATATTTGGACCCAAACACCTCATCAACTGTGTGATATATGAGGCAATGGGTAATGAACATAATGTTGTTGCAATGTTCTTTGATATCATCCAAAAGTTATCTCATAATGATTGCGTTTATTTTTTCGCTATCATATGTAATATATGGAAACAACGAAATAACAAAATATGAAATAATGTTACAAAGCAGCAAAAGAGGTTATGCCTAGAGTCGTTGATGTTGTCTATTATTAGAAAAATGCCATGAAAATAAGAGACTATTTATAGAATAAGAATATGTGTTTGTATCATAGATGAGCATGATGTTTTTGTGGTGGAAAAAACTAAATCAATCACTCCAATTTGTGATGTTCACATGGAAAAGATTATTGACTTATTTTTGCTCTCCGTTGGACACACGAGCTCAAAATAGATCAAGTTGATTTTGACTTAGATTATAAAATAGAGATGCATAGTATCTCTTATCCCAAAAATAGATTATATGGAATTTGATAATATTAATAAGTATTTTAAAGATTTTTTTTCTACCTATTATAATAACAGTGTTGAGTTTGTTAGGAGCAAGCGAACAAATTGCTCATAACTTAACAAAGATGATTAATAATTAAAATTTATAATTAAATATTATAAATTAAGCAAATAATTAATATTTTAAGTTACTATCATAATCAAATATTATAAATTATTAACGGATACTAGTCAAAGCAGATTCTTTTGGGTCAAATTGTAAGGCGATTTTTGGGTGAATATCTCTAATCGGAGTATTGTTGTTCTATTTATTCCCTGTGTTGCGTTTTCTTCTCCTACGTTTTGCGTTCTCCTTACATTTTCTCACTCAGTTCTGCGATTTATTTATTTCTATTTTATTTTGGCTGTTTGATTTTTGAACCCCTTTTCGGGTTCAACATGTTTTAGCATTTTGTTGGAAACCCTAAAAGCTTTAGACAATACCATGATTTAGGGTTTTCACTACTATTTTATACACACAAATGCATCAGCTTTTCAACAACTTGTGTTATCGTATTTGTCTGGATAGTGTAGTATCAGTCCCATTAATTAATTTGTTTTTCTGTTACCAATTGCTAGGGGACTCTTTTTCGTTTTACATAATAACATGATTTAGGGTTTTCACTACTATTTCATACACACTATTGCGTGAACCTTAGTAGTTTACTCTTTGAAATATATACTCAAAATGTAGCAAGTTTTATTCTATGCTATGCTATGCTGCCCAATGATGTAAAAATAGACTGTTGAGCAGCTACACGGTTTTGTTCATAACCTACCTTGCAACATTCTCTCAATGTGTGTGTGTATATATATGTATATCATGAAATTTCTTTCTCTCTCTATCTCTCTCGCTTTGGATATCTATATTTATCTATCTATCTTTGATGCAAGAAGGTTGTGAATGAATCCACTGAAAATGCTGTATATCATTTTCGTTTAGGTATGTGGTCTGAGGGCGCTTTGTTTCATTTTTTCTGTCAATTGAAGTGATAGTATTTGCAAAAGGGGCTTCTGTTATGCTGTTATTGCAAGAGAGTTTTATGCTATGCTTAACAAATACATACTGTATTACTATAGTATGCTGTTGCAGAAACTCAACATCTCTACTACATTAGCCCAGAGACAGATCTGAAGTATAATAAAGTACATTTGGTGTCAATGCATCTCGTAAGGATTCCAACTGGTTAAATTCGGTGTTGATAAAAGTACAAATCTAACAATATCTGAGGGCTGAGCTGCTACCTTCTGTTTGGATAATCTTATCAGTGGGTTGGTTCTTTTGTTCATTTATTTTAAATGTTATCTTCAGGACATTAGCTACCTGACTATGCCCTACTTGAGTAGAAGTTGTGAAAATTTAGGTGCTCTCTCCTTTCTCTACCAATTTATCTAATTTACCATGTCCTCTTTTCTTTGCACTTTGTCGCGTCATAATTGGCTATTTCACCTATTTCCACTTGTAAAGGAACTATATAGTTAATGTTCCTTACATGATTTTGTTTTTAGCTATGAGAATCTGAGGGCTGTGTTTCCTTTTTTTTTGTCAATTGAGCTAAGCCACACTATGTAACAAAGAGATGTTATCGCAAAAGGGGTTTCTGCTATGCTTATAAACTTCATATTGTATTGCAAATTGACAATAGTATGCTGTTGAAGAAACTAAAAATATATAGAACAATGTCCCAGAGCCATCTCTAAAACATTGTATTGACTCTCTGTTATCAACTATTTGAAGCTTATGTCTATCATATCTCATCACTCCACAGGACTGAAATAAATTCTATGAATGTGCTAACAATGGTGTGCTAGTGAATTTTTATTTCTGAAGTAGAATCACAGATTTTTTATTTCTTATTTCTTACTCTCAATCTGCGAATACTATTTATGCTTAACAGATATTACTTAGCAGGTTAAATTACGTACCATTTTAATTACAGTTGAATTTCCGCAATCATATTTTGTTAAATACTTGATTTTCCCATGTATTATTTTTATCTGCAAATTTACCCTGATATTTCCTTTATCTTTAATTTGAGTAATTTAAGTTGTTTATTTCTGCTTTTCACTTTTCATTTTTTGTGGATTTCCTTTTCAATTGATAACTACCTATTGTGCTGACTCTATTCCCTCTGGAGGAATTCCCCAGTGTCTTATAGAAATGCCCAATGACGAAAGCTTATAAACATAAGGTACTTTGAATATAATTCAAAGCCTTTCCGTCCCTTCTGCCCTTTTCACACTGCCATCACTTTTGACTTGTTCTTGTTCTACTACTACTTCTTCTTCTTCTACACTCTCGTAGCCACCATTATTATTATTATTATTATTATTATTATTATTCTTCTTCAGAGTGACAGTGGGTTGAGGTGGCGGAGGTTGTGCCCCTTGGGCACTCCCTTGATAGGGATGTTGAGAGGCTTTTGTGGATGTTGAGAAAGTACAAATCTCATAATATCTGAGGGCTAAATTGCTATCTTTTATTTGGATAATCTTGTCAGTCAGTTGATTTCTTCATTGATTTTATTATGTTATCTTCAGGAATTCAGCTTTCTGCCAGACTATGCCCTAGTTGAGGACAGGTCAAGAGAAGTTTACATGCTCTTTTTCCTGTCTACTAATTTCTCGAGTTTACTCTGTCCCATGTTTTTGCAGGTTGACATTTTCTAGTTGGCTATCGTCCACCTATTTTCTTTCATTTGTAAAGGAACCCTAGTTAATGTCCAGAAAAAAAGTGCAAGTACTTCCGCATTCATGTCTTGTTAAACAGCTTAAAATCTTTCAATGGTATGGTGGAAAGTTATTTTTCTTAGTTTTTATTTGAATTTAGTGTTTCTTATTCATCTACAGCTCCCTCTAGTTAACTATTGTAGGGTGGCAAATTTGTTTTCTTAGTTTTGGCTGTCGTTATACCGTTCTTATATGCTTAATTGATTTTTCTTGACAGGTTAACTTTAGATATTAATTATGATTGTATTTTGGCTCTTGTGTTTTAAAAGTTACTTGGTTTTTCCCTGTTTTATTGTCATTAATAAATTGATCATTTGTCTTTATCTTAAACTATTGTCATAAAAGAAAAATAATTACTTGGATTTTCACTGTTTTATTGTCATCGTCAAATTTGGTCATTATTTTTTTAAATCTTAAACTATTGAATACTTCCCAATTTTCACGTAGTGTAGATTTTCATCATTACTTATTTTAATTGTTCAATTTCCTTGAGATCAATTTGTATATATTTTCTTCTGTATATGCCTGATGATGATTTTCCCTGCTAGACATGTTGCTCTGACTATCATTCACAGCTTTTCCATCCATTCTGCCTTTCTTCCCACTGTCATCACTTCTAACTATGGTGTTGTTGTTGTTGTTGTTCTACTTCTTTTTCTTCTTCGTCTTCTCATTTTCATTGTCGTTGTTATCACTACTACTATTCCTACTATTGACAGTGAGCAGAGAAGGTAGAGGTTGTGTGATTCTTTATCTTGTGCACCACCTGATGGAAGGCGAGAGGCTTTTATGGATGATGAAAAAGTACTAACCTACTAAATATCTGAAGGCACAGTTGCTATCTTGTGGTTGAATAAGTTTTTTGATGGTTTCAGTTTTAATTTTGTATTTGCCGTGTTAATTTCATGAATCATTTCTGCGCTTTATTTATTTTTATTTTTATTTCGGCAGTTTGATTTTTGGACCCATTTTGGGTATACCATCGACGAACCTGCATGCCATTGGCTTTTAGCTCAACAGGTTTTACTCTTTGCTTGCAATATTTATAAAAATGCAAATCCTAAAAGCTCTACACAATTCCTTGACTTAGGGTTTTCACTACTATTTTATACACACTATTGCATGCGCTTTTCACATTGTTAAAAACATTGATGACGGCGTCTCAACAGAGAACAATAGACTTCTAGATATGAAGAGTTCTCTGTGACCATTAATTTATTTGTTTTTGTTACAAATTCTAGGGTACTCTTTTTTGTTTTCCCTTCATTTTATATTACACAAGTTTACTCTTTCAAATATATACCGAAAATGTAGCAAGTTCTGTTATGCTATGCTGCCCAATGATGTTTAAATAGACTATTGAGCTGCTACATGGTTTTCTTCATAACTCACCTTGCAACATTCTCTCAATGTGTGTGTATATATGTATGTATCATGATATTTCTTTCTCTCTCTCTTGCTGGATATCTATATCTATCTATCTATCTATGATGCAAAAAGGTTGTGAATCAATCCATTGTACATGCTCTACATGTTTTTTGTTTAGCTATGAGATCTGAGGGCGCTGTGTTTCCTTTTTTCTGTCTACTGAAATGATAGTTATTGCAAAAGGGGTTGTTGCTATTCTTAAGAAATGCATACTGTATTACAATAGTATGCTGTTGTAGAAACTCAATTGATGACTACCTATTATGCTTACCTGTATTCCCTCGGGAGAAATTCCATAGTGTCTTATGGATGTGCCCAATGATGACGAATGCTTATAAAAGATATGGTACTCTGAATATATTCAAAGCCTTTCCGTCCCTTCTGCCTTTCTTCACACTAATGTCACTATTTTCTTCTTCTTCTTTCTCCATTGTTGGCACCATCTTCATCATCATCATCATCATCATCCTCATCAACATTATTATTATTATTATTAATTAATTAATTAATCATAGTGACAATGGGTCGAGATGGTGGAGGTTGTGCCTTGTGTGCACTGCCTTGATGGATGTTGAAAGGCTTTTATGACTGTTGAAAAAGTACAAATCTAACAATATCTGAGGGCTGATGCTACCTTTTGTTTGGATAATCTTATCAGTCGGTTGGTTCTTTTGTTCATTTATTTTAAATGTTATCTTCAGCAGTGTTGTCGATGGCGGTCCATGGTGGAGTCAAAATCCTGCCATTCTGGCTGCTTTGCGGTGCTGTTATTGCAGATTATGGCAGAAAAACCTGCAATAGTGGCCGATATTTACCATTGCGGCGAGCCCAAAAACCGCCATGTATATCAGCCATAGCGGCCATGGTGGGGCAATTTTATAATACGATAATGGGTCGAGATGGTGGAGGTTGTGCCTTGTGTGCACTGCCTTGATGGATTTTGAAAGGCTTTTATGACTGTTGAAAAAGTACAAATCTAACAATATCTGAGGGCTGATGCTGCCTTTTGTTTAGATAATCTTATCAGTCGGTTGGTTCTTTTGTTCATTTATTTTAAATGTTATCTTCAGCAGTGTTGTCGATGGCGGTCCATGGTGGAGAGTCAAAATCCTGCCATTCTGGCTGCTTTGCGACGCTGTTATTGCAGATTATGGCAGAAAAACCTGCAATAGTGGCCGATATTTACCATTGCGGCGAGCCCAAAAACCGCCATGGCGGGGCAATTTTATAATACTGATCTTCAGGACACTAGCTACCTGACTATGCGAGGAGAAATTGTGAAACGTTTATGTGCTCTTTCCTTTCTCTACCAACTTCTCTAACTTACCATGTCCTCTTTTCTTTGCAGGTTGTCATGTCATAATTGGCTATTCACCTATTTCCACTAGTATAGGAGCTATTCAATTAATGTTCCGGACCAATGTGTAAATATTCTCGCCTGATTCTGGCCGTACATGATTTTGTTTTTGGCTATGAGATATGATGGCCGCGTTTCCCTTTTTTATGTCAATTTAGCTAAGCGATACTATGTAACCAAGAGATGCTCATTGCAAGAGGGGTTTCTGCTATGCTTACCAAATTCATATTGAATAACTATAGTATGCTGTTGCAGAAACTCAGAATATTTAGAACAATGTCCCAGAGCCATCTCTAAAATATAGTATTGACTATCTCTAAAATATAGTATTGGCTCTCTGTTATCAACTATTTGAAGCTTATGTCTATCATATCCCTTCACTCCACAGCACTGAAATAAACTTTACGAGTGTGCTAACTGGTGTGCTATTGCATTTTTATTTCTGAAGTAGAATCACAGATTTTTTATTTCTTATTTCTTACTCTCAATCTGCCATTATTATTTATGCTTAACAGATTTTACTTGGCAGGTTAAATTACCATTTTTATTACAGTTGAATTTTGGCAATCATATTTTGTTAAATACTTGATTTTCCTATGTATTATTTTCATCTACAAATTTACCATGATATTTCCCGTCTTGAATTTGAGTAATTTAAGTTTTTTGTTTATGCTTTTAACTTTTCATTTCTTGTGGATTTCCTTTACAATTTATGACTACCTATTGTACTGACTCTATTTCCTATGGAGAAATTCTCTAGTGTCTTATGGATATGCCCAATGACGAAAGCTAATAAAGATATGATACTTTGAATATAATTCAAAGCCTTTCCGTCCCTTCTGCCCCTTTCACACTGCCATTGCTATTGACTTGTTCTTGTTCTTCTTCTTCTACTACTACTTCTTCTTCATCTACTACTTCTTCTTCTACACTGTCGTCGCCATCATTGTTATTATTATTATTATATTTCATAGTGACAGTGGGTTGAGCTGGCGGAGGTTGTGTCCCTTGGGCACTCCCTTGATGGGGATGTTGAGAGGTTTTTATGGATGTTGAAATAGTACAAATCTCATAATATCTGAGGGCTGTGTTGCTATTTTTTATTTGGATAATCTTGCCTGTCAGTTCCTTCATTTATTTTGTTATCATCAGGAATCTAGCTGTCTGCATGACTATGCCCCAGTTGAGGACAGGTGAAGAAAAGTTTAGATGATCTTTCCTGTTTACTCTGCTCTACATTTTTGCAGATTGACATGTCATTGTTGGCTATCGTTCGTCTATTTTCTTTCATTTGTAAATGGACTTTAGTTAATTTCCAGAACAAAAGTGCAAGTACTCCCACTCAAAATCTTTCAATGGTATAGTGGAGAATTTATATTTCTTTGTTTCAATTTGAATTTAGTAACTCTTATTCATCAGCGCCCCCCCTCTAGTTAACTATGGTAGGGTGGCAAATTTGTTTTCCTAGTTTTGGCTATCAATATTTACCTTTCTCATATATGCTTAATTGATTTTTCTTGACAGGTTAAATTTAGATGTTAATTATGGTTGTATTTTGGCTCTAATGTTTTAATAATTACTTTGTTTTTCCTTGTTTTATTGTTATCAATAAATTTGACCATTTTTCCTTTATCTTAAACTATTGAATAGTTTCAACTTTCAGTGTAGATTTGCTTTACCATCAAAGAGAACTAATTCTACTTGTTCAATTTTCTTGGGATAAGTTTGAATATGGTAGGTTGGGAAATTTAAATCTATTATTTTTGGTTGTCAATCTATACTTCTCATTTACACTTATCATATTACTAATGATTGTATTTATTTTGGTAATTGTATTTTGAAAATTACTTGGATTTTCCCTGTTTTATTGTCATCACTATTAGAGTTATATCTTAGAATATGAATAATCAGCACTATAGAATAATTAAGTCCAGCCTTAATTTAATAGAATAAGAAAAGTCTTCCTTAATTGTAGAGCTTGAATGATTCAACTCTTGAATGTTCATCTCCTCTTGTATAAATAGAGCATAATGCTCATTTCCAATTCAGCAATAACAGAATCTGTTTCTCTCTTTTCTCTTTTAGCTTTTTCTCTCTTCTCTCTCATATCTCACTCTAATATGGTATCATAGAGCTTCGGTTCTATCCATGGCAGCGATTCCAGTAACTACAGCTCCGGCCACCCCAACATCTATGTCCTTCCAACTCAAAATCACAGAAAAACTTGATGAGAAGAATTTCCTACTTTGGTGCCAACAAGTAGATCCTTTCGTTAACGCGAACAATCTTCAAAACTACCTTTACCTTCGTGACATACCGAATCGATACCTGACTGATGAAGATCGTGCCGCTGCTCGTGAGAACCCTGCGTATCGCACCTGGATTACGCAAGATCAGTGGCTTATGACGTGGCTTCAATCCACGCTTTCACCTTCAATTCTTTCACGTGTTCTTGGATGCGTTCATTCCTACGAGCTCTGGGAACGTATTCTTGCGCATTTTCAAAAGCTTACACGTGCGAAAGCAAGACAACTACGAGCGGAACTCAGATCTACAACACTTGAAGACAAATCTGTTGGTGATTATCTGGTTCGCATCAAAGCTCTTGTTGACGCGCTTGCTTCAGTAGGAGATCCAGTTCCAGATCAGCAACACATTGATGTGATTCTTGAAGGTCTTCCTCAAGACTTTGCCTCTGTTATTTCAGTTATTGAAAGCAAGTTTGATTCAGTAGAACTTGAAGAAGTTGAAGCTCTTCTTCTTGCTCATGAGATGAGATACAACAAGTATAAGAAACACTCACAAATGGAGGTGGCTGCCTCAGTGAATCTCACTCAAGCCAATTCTCAACCTGAAACTGATAACTCGAATAACAAGAACAATGAACAAGCTGTGAATTCAACCTTTAATCCAACCTATTCAAGAGGAGGCCGTGCAGCTGGCCGTGGTGGTGGACGCGGCCGTGGGAGAGGTAGGTTCAGCAACATTCAATGTCAAGTTTGCTTCAAATATGGTCATCTTGCTGCTAACTGCTATCATAGGTTCAATCAACAATTTCAACCTAACATACCTGCTGATTTTCAAACAATGAACCTACAAAATTTTTATCCGTATCAACCAATTGGTGGACCTCAGTTTGCTCAGCCCATGGTTAACACTCGGTCACGCCCAAGCTATCAACCAAGACTTGCCCCTCTCCCTGTTCCTCAGTCACATATCACTCCCAATGCTATGATTGCTAACACAACTTCAGTTCCAAGCAGTGCCTGGTTCCCAGACTCAGGAGCTTCTTATCATGTTACCAATGCCTCTCAAAACATACAGCAAACCACACCTTTTGAAGGTCCTGATCAGATCTTCATTGGTAACGGTCAAGGTTTGCACATTCACTCTTCAGGCTCTTCTTATTTTCCTTCTCATTCTAAACCTAACACTCCATTAGCTCTTCATAATTTACTGCTTGTTCCTTCTATTACAAAGAACCTGATAAGTGTCAGCAAATTCTGTCTTGATAATAGAGTTTTCTTTGAGTTTCATGCTGATATGTGCTATGTCAAATCTCAGGCTACCAATGAAATTCTGCTCCAAGGTCGTGTAGGAAGTGATGGCCTGTACCAATTTTCCCATCTTCAGCTTCTTAAGTCTCCTTCAACAAGTCAAGTCTCATGTCTCACCTTAGACTCTAATGCTCATGTTTCAAGATCTGATTCCAGCACTAGTGATAGGGTTTCAGTTTCTAATCAAAATGTATCAGCTAATAACTCATATAATTCTCAACATACTTGGCATTTACGCCTTGGTCATCCAAATTCTAATACTATGAGACTTGTTTTAGCTCAATGTAATATTCCTTATTCTAATAAAGCTGAATCTATCTTTTGTTCTGCCTGCTGTATGGGAAAGGCACATAGGCTGCACTCCCCTCAGTCACAAACTCAATATCACTCTCCTCTTGAATTAATTTTCAGTGACCTATGGGGTCCTGCCCCAGTCAAATCCTCCCAAAACTTCACCTACTACATCACCTTTGTTGATGCATACACCAGATTTACTTGGATCTATTTGCTCAAAAATAAATCTGAAGCCTTAACTATCTTTAAACAATTCAAAGTCATGGCTGAATTACAATTTGGATTTCCTATTAAATCTGTCCAAACTGATTGGGGTGGTGAATTTCGCCCATTTACAAAGTTTCTTTCTGATCTTGGCATTATTCATCGCCTAGTTTGCCCTCACACTCATCACCAAAATGGTGTAGTGGAGAGGAAGCATAGACACGTTGTTGATCTTGGTTTAACCCTCTTGAGTCATGCCTCTTTACCTCTCAAATTTTGGGACCATGCCTTTTTAACCGCTGTCTACCTAATAAATAGGTTACCAACCATGTCTCTCAATCAACATATACCATATGCTGTCCTTTTCAATCAAAATCCTGACTATAAATTCCTTAAAGTCTTTGGGTGTGCTTGTTTTCCTCTCCTTCGCCCATACAACTCTCAAAAATTTGACTTTAGATCCCACGAGTGCCTTTTTCTAGGGTACTCTACAGCTCACAAAGGTTACAAATGTCTCTCTCCAAGTGGTAGAATATTCATCTCTAAAGATGTTCTTTTCAACGAGTCCAAATTTCCTTACAATGATCTTTTTTCCTCTAATGTTTCTCTCCCCTCATCAACCATTCCATCCTCCTCCTCATCTAAAGTAACCCTTAACACACAAGCTCTCCCTCATGTTTTTCCCGTTCCTACTGCTTCCACTACCTCACACTCCTCTTCTTCTTCTCAATCCAATTCCAGCCCCACACCTATTGTCTCACACTCCTCTTCTTCTTCTCAATCCAATTCCAGCCCCACACCTATTGTCTCACACTTCTCTTCTTCTTCCCAATCCAATTCCAGCCCCACACCTACTGCCTCTGGGTCAGCAACCCCTATAACACAAACAGCCAGCACTAATCCTACTCCTTCACCCTCTTCAAATGCCAACAATCAGCCTACTACTACCACTTCACTATCCTCCTCCTCTATTTATGCTCCTAGGGATCCTAACCTTCAGCCTCTCCCCACCAATACTCATCCTATGACTACTAGAACTAAATCTGGTGTACCCTTACCTCGTCTAAATCCTTCCATTTTTCTTGTCAATTCTGAGCCTAAGAGTGTTAAAACTGCTCTCCAAGATCCTAAGTGGTTTGCTGCTATGCAAGAGGAGTATGGTGCCTTGATAAGGAACAACACTTGGTCTTTGGTACCACTGCCTGCTAACAGGAAAGCAATAGGCTGCAAGTGGGTTTTTCGTGTAAAGGAAAATGCTGATGGGACAGTAAATAAGTACAAAGCTAGGCTTGTTGCTAAGGGGTTCCATCAAGTCCATGGATTTGACTTTAATGAAACTTTCTCCCCTGTTATTAAACCGGTCACAATTAGAATTATTTTGACTCTTGCTCTAACTTACAATTGGCCTTTGCAGCAGTTGGACATAAACAATGCCTTTTTGAATGGCATTCTTGAAGAGGAGGTCTATATGATGCAACCCCCTGGATTTACTGCCCCTAATTCATCTCTGGTTTGTCACTTGCACAAGGCCTTGTATGGCCTAAAACAAGCCCCGAGGCAATGGTTTGAAAGACTCAAAACCACTCTTTTATCCTTTGGCTTTCTAAACAGCAAGTGTGATACTTCACTTTTCATCTACAAGCACCACAATGCTGTCATTTATATGCTGGTTTATGTTGATGATATAATCATCACAGGAAACTCCCCTCCTCTCATCAAGCAAGTTACTCAACAATTAAATCATGTGTTTGCTCTCAAACAACTTGGTGACTTGGATTATTTTCTGGGCCTTGAGGTGAAGAAATTGTCCAATGGAAATCTCCTTCTCACTCAATCTAAGTACCTAAGGGACTTGCTAATCAAAACTGATATGGAGAATTCCAATCCAGTTGCTACTCCTATGGCTTCCTCCACCAAACTCATCAAAACAGGGTCTGCTGCCTTGTCTGATGCCTCCCACTACCGGTCCATTGTAGGGGCCCTGCAGTATGCAACAATTACACGGCCAGAAATCTGCTATGCTGTTAACAAAGTATGTCAATTCATGGCACACCCCTTGGAGTCCCATTGGCTAGCTGTCAAGCGTATTCTGCGCTACCTAAAAGGAACTATCACCTCTGGTTTATTGTTCACTCCAGCCTCCACTGTTCCGTTCTCTCTGCAAGCCTATTGTGATGCTGACTGGGCTGCTGACCCAGATGATAGAAGATCCACCTCTGGGTCAGCTGTGTACTTAGGCCCTAATTTGATCTCTTGGTGGTCCAAAAAGCAAACTGTTGTTGCTCGTTCTAGTGCTGAGGCAGAGTATCGCAGCTTGGCTCACACCACAGCTGAAGTTTTATGGGTTCAAACTTTGCTAGCTGAACTAAAAATTCCCTTGACAACTCCAACCATCTATTGTGACAACCAGAGCACAGTTGCTATGGCTCATAACCCTGTTCTTCATGCAAGAACAAAGCATATGGAAATTGACCTCTTTTTTGTAAGAGAAAAGGTGATTAATAAGTCTCTCACTGTCTGCCACATTCCTGGTGTTGACCAGAAGGCTGACATCCTCACCAAGCCTCTCTCATGTTCAAGATTTATGGAGCTCAGCAGCAAGCTCAACCTGTCTGCCTCAAGTCAGCCTTTGCAGCCACCTTGAGCTTGTGGGGGAGTATTAGAGTTATATCTTAGAATATGAATAATCAGCACTATAGAATAATTAAGTCCAGCCTTAATTTAATAGAATAAGAAAAGTCTTCCTTAATTGTAGAGCTTGAATGATTCAACTCTTGAATGTTCATCTCCTCTTGTATAAATAGAGCATAATGCTCCTTTCCAATTCAGCAATAACAGAATCTGTTTCTCTCTTTTCTCTTTTAGCTTTTTCTCTCTTCTCTCTCATATCTCACTCTAATAATCACAAATTCGGTTGTTATTTTTTTTATTTTATAGTTTAAACTATTGAATACTTACAATGATGTATAAATAGACTATTGAGCCGCTACATGGTTTTCTTCATAACTCACCTGCAACATTCTCTCAATGTGTGTGTATATATGTATGTATCATGATATTTCTTACTCTCTCTCTTGCTGGATATCTATATCTATCTATCTATCTATGATGCAAGAAGGTTGTGAATCAATCCATTGTACATGCTCTACATCATTTTTGTTTAGCTATGAGATCTGAGGGCGCTGTGTTTCCTTTTTTCTGTCTACTGAAATGATAGTTATTACAAAAGGGGTTTCTGCTATTTTTAAGAAATGCATACTGTATTACAATAGTATGCTGTTGTAGAAACTCAATTGATGACTACCTATTATGCTTACCTGTATTCCCTCAGGAGAAATTCCATAGTGTCTTATGGATGTGCCCAATGATGACGAATGCTTATAAAGATATGGTACTCTGAATATATTCAAAGCCTTTCCGTCCCTTCTGCCTTTCTTCACACTAATGTCACTATTTTCTTCTTCTTCTTCTTCTTTCTCCATTGTTGGCACCATCCTCATCGTCAGCCTCATCAAAATTATTATTATTATTATTAATTAATTAATTGATCATAGTGACAGTGGGTCGAGATGGTGGAGGTTGTGCCTTGTGTGCACTGCCTTGATGGATGTTGAAAGGCTTTTATGAATGTTGAAAAAGTACAAATCTAACAATATCTGAGGGCTGAGCTGCTACCTTTTGTTTGAATAATATTATCAGTCGGTTGGTTCTTTTGTTCATTTATTTTAAATGTTATCTTCAGCGTTGTTGTCGATGAGTGTCCATGGCGGAGAGCCAAAATCCTGCCATTCTGGCTGCTTTGCGGCGCTGTTATTGCAGATTATGGCGGAAAAACCTGCAATAATGGCCGATATTTACCATTGCGGCGAGCTCAAAAACCGCCATGTAATCAGCCATAGCGGCCATGGCGGGGCAATTTTAATACTGATCTTCAGGACACTAGCTACCTGACTATGCGAGGAGAAATTGTGAAACGTTTAGGTGCTCTTTCCTTTCTCTACCAACTTCTCTAACTTACCATGTTCTCTTTTCTTTGCAGGTTGTCACGTCATAATTGGCTATTCACCTATTTCCACTAGTAAAGGAGCTATTCAATTACTGTTCCGAACCAATGTGTAAAGGAGCTAATCAATTAATGTTCCGAACCAATGTGTAAATATACTCGCATGATTCTGGCCCTACATGATTTTGTTTTTGGGTATGAGATCTGATGGCCGTGTTTCCCTTTTTTATGACAATTTCGCTAAGCCATACTATGTAACCAAGAGATGCTCTTTGCAAGAGGGGTTTCTGCTATGCTTACCAAGTTCATATTGTATAACTATAGTATGCTGTTGCAGAAACTCAAATTATTTAGAACAATGTCCCAGAGCCATCTCTAAAATTTAGTATTGACTATCTCTAAAATATAGTATTGGCTCTCTGTTATCAACTATTTGAAGCTTATGTCTATCATATCCCTTCACTCCACAGCACTGAAATAAACTCTATGAGTGTGCTAACAATGGTGTGCTATTGCATTTTTATTTCTGAAGTAGAATCACAGATTTTTTATTTCTTATTTCTTACTCTCAATCTGCCATTATTATTTATGCTTAACAGATTTTACTCGGCAGGTTAAATTACCATTTTTATTACAGTTGAATTTTGGCAATCATATTTTGTTAAATACTTGATTTTCCTATGTATTATTTTCATCTGCAAATTTACCATGATATTTCCTGTCTTGAATTTGAGTAATTTAAGTTTTTTGTTTATGCTTTTCACTTTTCATTTCTTGTGGATTTCCTTTTCAATTTATGACTACCTATTGTACTGACTCTATTTCCTATGGAGAAATTCCCTAGTGTCTTATGGATATGCCCAATGACGAAAGCTAATAAAGATATGATACATTGACTATAATTCAAAGCCTTTCCGTCCCTTCTGTCCTTTTCACACTGCCATCGCTATTGACTTGTTCTTGTTCTTCTTCTACTACTTCTTCATATTCTTCTTCTTCTTCTTCTACACTGTCGTCACCATCATTGTTATGATTTTTATAATTTTTCGTAGTGACAGTGGGTTGTGCCCCTTGGGCACTCCCTTGATGGGGATGTTGAGTGGTTTTTATGGATGTTGAGAGGTTTTTATGGATGTTGAAATAGTACAAATCTCATAATATCTGAGGGCTGTGTTGCTATTTTTTATTTGGATAATCTTGCCAGTCAGTTTCTTCATTTATTTTGTTATCATCAGGAATCTAGCTGTCTGCCTGACTATGCCCCAGTTGAGGACAGGTGAGGAAAATTTTAGATGATCTTTCCTGTTTAATCTGCTCTAATTTTTTGTAGGTTGACATGTCATTGTTGGCTATCAGTCTATTTTCTTTCATTTGGTAAAGGAACTTTAGTTCATTTCCAGAACAGAAGTGCAAGTACTCCCTCTCAAAATCTTTCAATGGTATGGTGGAAAATTTATATTTATTTGTTTCAATTTGAATTTAGTAACTCTTATTCATCAGCAGCTCCCTCTAGTTAACTATGGTAGGGTGGCAAATTTGTTTTCCTAGTTTTGGCTATCAATATTTCCATTCTCATATTTGCTTAATTGATTTTTCTTGACAGGTTAAATTTAGATGTTAATTATGGTTGTATTTTGACTCTAATGTTTTAATAATTACTTTGTTTTTCCTTGTTTTATTGTCATCAATAAATTTGACCATTTTTCCTTTATCTTAAACTATTGAATAGTTTCAACTTTCACCAAGTGTAGATTTGCTTTACCATCAGAGAACTAATTTTACTTGTTCAATTTTCTTGGGATAAGTTTGAATATGGTAGGTTGGGAAATTTAAATCTATTATTTTTGGTTGTCAATCTATACTTCTCATTTACACATATCATATTACTAATGCTTGTATTTATTTTGGTAATTGTATTTTGAAAATTACTTGGATTTTCACTGTTTTATTCTCATCACAAATTTGGTTGTTATTTTTTTTTTATAGTTTAAACTATTGAATACTTACCAATTTTGACTTGGTGTAGATTTGCTTTACTATCAAACAAAACTTATTTTACTTGTTCTATTTCCTTGGAACAAATTTGCGGATGATTTCTTCCCTTTATGCTCGATGATGATTTTTCCTTGCTAGACATGTTGCTCTGAATATCATTCACATCTTTTCCGTCCATTCTTCCTTTCTTTCCACTGTCATCACTTCTTACTATGGTGTTGTTCTTCTTCTTGTTCTACTTTCCTTTCTTCTCCGTCTTCTCATTTTCATTGTTGTTGTTACCACTACTGACAGTGGGTAGAGATGGTAGAGGTTGTGTTTCTTTTTCTTGTGCACCACCTAATGGATGGCGAGAGGCTTTTATCAATGTTGAAAAAGTACCAACCTACTAAATACCCGAGGGCATAGATCTTGTGTTATATTTTCAATGGTTTCAGTTTTAATTTTTTATTTGACATTACTAACATCCTTCTTGTTCTATCTGTAAAAGTGTACAACTTTTCTTCTATGCTGCCCAGTGATGCAAAAGACTGAATCCTTCATTGGTGATGACTGAGCTGGATTAATCACACAGAATACTCCACCAAGTATTCTGTTGGAAGGTGGAGTAATGAACAGTGTGTTGTTAGCTAAGAATAAATATTAGAAAGAATATAATATATATAAAGAATATAATATATATAAAGTGGAGTAATGAACAGTGTGTTGAGAGAAAGATGATAAAGTGAAAAAATGGGGAGAAGTATAGTGGTGAAAGATTGAGAGAGATGGTTGTAGCATGTGATTTATAGAGAGAATGGCGACCAAGTGTGAGATGTGAGAAAAGAAAAGTTAACTAATGTTACTCCTCAAAGAAGCTATCTAGTTTGAGAAAAAATTGGACTTTATCTTTGTTTAAAAAGCTGAGTCTACTGTTTTACTAGTGCAAGCGGATCGGGGGCTTTAGTGACTTTAGTCAGAGTTGTCAATAGCGGGCGCTCCAGCCGCTATCGCGGTGCACCGTAGCGGTGCGGCACCCCCCCGCGCGCTATTTAGGGTGCGGTGGCGGAGATGAAAAAGCGGCCGCTTCAGCCGCTTTCCTGGGTAGCGGGTAGCGGGAAGTTCTCGGGCGGAGCGGCTCCGGTTCTCTTTTTTTTTTTTAAACAATTTTCTGGGCCAAATTATCTTTTTTTAAACCGGTTCTCTTTGTTTTCTTTCTCCCTCATTCGCTGTGTTTTATCGTGTCCTAATTCCTCAACTCTCCTACGATTCTGCCGCCATCTCCCTGCAACTCTCCTTCTTCGATTCTTCCTCCATCTCTTTCTGCCATCTCAGCTAATTTCTTCTAATTCTTCAACTTATTCTACTTCAACTTATTCTACTTCTTTTCTTTCTACTTCTTTTCTTTCTACTTCTTTTCTTTCTACTGTTTCTTTCTACTTTCTACTTCTTCTATTTTGTTTTGTTGTAAACACCGTTTCTTTCTATTTTGAAGAAGTTAAAGATGAAGAATTGGAGGAATATGAAGAAGATGAGGAATTGGAGGAATATTTTGATGATGCTACATGATTTCTATGTTTGTTTGAATTTTCATATGATAGTACTAAGTCTGAATTTGAATCTTTATGTTTTGAATCTTGATTAAGCGTTGTTCTTTGTTTGACATTAGATTTTATAAATATTTTATGAGTGTTGTGAAATTAGTTTAGTATTACATGACAAATGTTTTATAGATTATTATATAATTATTAGTATACAAAAAGCTATCCCGCTATCCGGAATTCTGCTATTCCCACTTTTCCCATTTTCGGGGGTCGGCCGCTCCGCTATCTGGGATTAATAACTATGACTTTAGTCTCGAAAGTTACCATAACTTTCACTTAATATCCACTATTGAGAGAGATGGTTGTAGCTTGTGATTTATAGAGAGAATGGTGACCAAGTGTGAGATGTGAGAAAAGAAAAGTTAACTAATGTTACTCCTCAAAGAAGCTATCTAGTTTGAGAAAAAATTGGACTTTATCTTTGTTTAAAAAGCTGAGTCTACTGTTTTACTAGTGCATGCGGATCGGGGGCTTTAGTGACTTTAGTCTCGAAAGTTACCATAACTTTCACTTAATATCCACTATTGAATCAATCCAACAATTCATATGAAAACACTTATTTCTTTTCTTTTTCATTAAAATAATACTTTCTCCGGCTATTATTATAAGTAAATATTATCTTTTTAGATTCATTGAACAATAAGTGTATTTATCTTTTTAGATTCATTGAACAATAAGTGTATTTATCTTTTATATAGACCAGATACATTCATTATTCAATAAACCTAAAAAAGAGAATCTTTACTTATAGATAAGGCTAGAGAGAGTACAAAATAATGCATTAAGTTTTCAGAACAAATGTCAACAACCATACAAATTTCACTTCTCCATTCAAAACAACTGTTTCACTCGCCATCGCCACCGTGTGGATGTTGTCACCGCGTTACCTCGTCGTCACCTTATTGCTCGCCGTTACCATCTCATCTTGCCGCAACCATACAATTCGTACTTATCATGTCGTTTCGCCGTCAACATCGGTGTCAATTTTGTTGCCACCATGTTTCCGCCATGCCGGTGGGTCTGTAACCTTCTCACCCCCTTTTTCTCTTTGAAATATTCAATTTTAAAGATAATATTTGTTTGTTGTTGTTGCAGTAGAGTGAATTTGGGATTTGATTGCTGTATTGTTTTTATATATAAATCATGTGATTCATTTCTATAATTTTGAAATTCGATTAGAGAATTTTCTAGAATTGGTAGCAATTCTGCAAGTGAATCTGGGATTTGCTCTGCAAGGATATTGGTAGTTGTAATTAGTATCAATTTCTATAATTTTCTAGAATAGAATAATGTTTATTCTACCAATAATCTACTTATTATTTTAATGATGGCATATTTCTATGAGACATTGGTGAAACTATAAAAGTGCTTACTGATACAATTTGTGCCAACTGATATGATTTGTGCAATATGTAATTTATGCACATTGTAATTCTAGCGTTATAACTTGTGCATATTCAAGTGTTATAATTTATGCACACTGTAATTCTAGCTTGTCTTGATTCTCATGTAATGCAAACTGATATAATTTATGCATATTGTAGGATTATGCTGAAGTTAATGTATTTGGCTGACAATTTCTAAAGACATTGGTGTTTAAAAGTAGTTCAACTCTAAAGCTCAACAAACTGATATGCTAATGATGATATAAAAAATTTATTGGCAGTGTCATTAGCATATCAGTAAACATGAGATAGACAGTGTCATCAACAAACTTGAGGTCTTCCTCTTCATACGATACTGCCACCTTTATGAACTTAGAAACAATATGTTTAAACATTTGTGTCCTAGATAATTTTAGATCGGCTTCAACCTCTTTTCCCCTAGAATTTGCACGATGTCATAACGAGCTTTTCTTGTCCACCTCCTTAAAATATACTCATGGGGAATGTTCTTAACATCATTCGCTTCAAGCACTTTCAACATCGCAGTACTCCATACTTCTCTGTCTTTTTGTATTGAATTTTTAACATCGACTCGTGTAATCCAACATTAGCTCTCTGTCCAGCATGTGTGCTCATAAGTTGAAATGTTGACTTATGCCTTAATCCGGAGTCATCGGCCAAATCAATCTCATATGCTTGTACTTCGGTTATTTTTCTATGAGATGCAAGCATGTGTGTTGTTTCAAGAGTTTGTAGAGAATGATTTTATATTATTACATACAAGTGAAATTTTTGCTTTGCATTCTGTTCTAGTCTCAGCTCTATGAGTGCTAACAAAAGTATCTATATTTTTCTCTTTTGTAGTCCTTCCTTATAACAAACGAACCTGCATGATAATATGGTGTCATCATTATTTTTCTTTGCGTAACGTTTTCTAACTCAAAGCCAACATGAACACTATAAACAAGCCAAAATTGACCCGTTTCTTCTATATTGTCAAATTCCATTTCAATCTTTGGCTTCCAATCATCATCCAAATTAGTCATGTTTGATCACACTATCTAAATAAAACCACCTGAAAAATATATAATAATTAATTTTAGTAAGCATGGGATATGAATCTTTCAAGTAATATTGACAATTAATATGAGAAAAAAATTGAAGAGCTCAAATAGAAAACAACCTTTACCTGTTTCAATTCCAAGACATTTAAGAAAAAATTCTAAGTTTGATTTTGATTTTCTAAGCACAGTATCAATATGATCCAAATATCATATATAAACACAATTGTTTATGTGAACCACCATATATTGGTGGAATGAAGCACTGTTAAAGAACCAAATATCAGATATAAATCACTCTAACACTCATATCAAAACAATGAAGATAAAAAAATTGAAGGATAATGTTAAGTACCGGAGTGATGGCTGTTTCCGGTGGTGGCAATTGCACTGCGGCGGTCCAGTGCGGCGACAATGTGCACTGCAGTGGCAAATTGACGGGAGGGTGGTGGGTCGGTTATAATGCAAAATTTGTTTTATTTAAATTTCAAACAGATTTAATTAAAAAAATTAATAATAAAAGAAGGAAAGATATGTAGAATAATATAGAGCCTAGGATCAATCTTATGGGAGAAATAAATTGAAAGGCATGGTGGATAAAAAGCTGAGTCTATATAGTAGTACTAGTATATGATTATACAAGTTAAAATGTATAGAATTTTGTATGTCAGTCGGTACTGGATAGATGTGGATCAATTGTGTGTATCTGCCGTCTGTTTGTTAGAATTAATTTAGATTTAATTAGATATTAGTTTATATTTAGGAATATCTTTTAGATTGTTTATATTTTTGTTAGAAGATATATATCTTAGATCTTCTTATATCTTTGTAAAAGATATATTTTAGATTTAATTTGTGTGTATAAATAGCCTAGTGGAGTATGTTATTATAATTCATTGTAAATCCTTATTTTGAAGCTATCAGTAAATATTCTTTTTGCCTTTTATCTTCTTTGTGCTCCAACAATTGATATCTAGAGCTTCTGGTTAGAAACTCTGAAATATGGAGTATTATTTCCGTCTGGAAGAAAGATCGAATCAGAACTTCTGAGTTATTCTGATTCTGATTAGTGCGAAGATAGAATTGACAGAAGAAGTACTTCCGGGTACTTATTCAAATTTATGAGAGGTCCTATTTCTTGGTGTTCCAAGAAGCAACCTGTTGTTGCTCTGTCAACCTATGAAGCTGAATATATTGCAGGTGCTCTGACTGCATGTCAAGCTGTGTGGATTATGAACTTGCTGAAAGATCTGAAGATTGAGGTGAATAAATCTCTGAAGCTGATGATTGATATCAAGTCTGCAATCAATCTTGCCAAGAATTCAGTGTTGCATGGGAGAAGCGAGCATATTGAGACCAAGTATCATTTTCTGAGGAATCAAGTTCAGAATGGAATAATAGAGGTTGTGCACTGTATCACTCAGAAGCAGCTGACATATATTCTGATAAAGGCTACCAAAACTGATCAATTTCTTGGTTTAAGGGATGAAATTAGTGTTGTCAGTTTTGGATAAATATAAATTAAGGGATGATGTTAGAATTAATTTAGATTTAATTAGATATTAGTTTATATTTAGGAATATCTTTTAGATTGTTTATATCTTTGTTAGAATATATATATATATATATATATATATATATATATATATATATATATTAGATCTTCTTATATCTTTGTAGAAGATATATTTTAGATTTAATTTGTGTGTATAAATAGTTTAGTGGAGTAGGTTATTGTAAATCCTTATTTTGAAGCTATCAGTAAATATTCATTTTGCCTTTTATCTTCTTTGTGCTCCAACAACAAACACATATTCCCATTCTATTATCAATAGTCTCTTATCTTTCAGGCATTTTTCAATAATGGACAACATCAACTACTCTATGGATAGTCTCTCGTTCTGCTTTGTAATATTGTTTCATATTTTGTTATTTCGTTGTTTCCATATACTTTATATGGTACTAAAAAAACAAACAAAATCAATATAGGATAACTTATGGATGATATCAAAGAACATTGCAGCAACATCATATTCGTTACATATTTTCTTATAATCTTTGAAAAAAACACAGTAAAACGATCAACCTAACCAAATCAAACCGATTAATTTGGTTCGATTTTATTTTTAAAAAATATTAAAAATCAAAGTAAACCAAACCGATAAAAATATCATCGGTACGAATCTTTTTTTAACAAAAAAACTTATCTAAAATAATCCGATTATACTCCTATCTTTGACCCTTGACCTTTGAAGTTCGTCACAAAAATCAACTCCATAAAAATGGTACTTAGAAGAATTCCAAAATTAAATTGCCTAAAACCAGGATATTTATGTCAATAAGAAAAGGAGAAATTGGTAAAACACAAGATTGTCAATGTAAAATATTTGGAACCAACCATTATAGTATATAGAAATTTTATTTGTAGTTTTGATTCTAATAGGGGTGGACAATAAATTTCAAACCGTCTGAATCCATTATAATCGATTGCAGAACTAACAATACAAATGCATTCTTTAAAACCCTGGATACATCAAATATATTTTTTCAAATTTTTTATGGATATAAAAAGTGTTGGGGGAGATTATTAGGAGCATTGATGCATAGTGTAGGAACAAACACCTTTTTGAGAGAGACACACCACTTCTCCACCTAAAATCTTAAGGTGATAGGTGAGTGGATTCTCCCACTTATATATGCTTAAGTCTCCACATTCCTATCCAATGTGGGACTATTTCCCCACTTATTCACACTTGCTATATTATTCCAACACTCCCCCTCAAGTGTGAATCCACAATGTTCCCCCACTTGTACCGCACCATTCAATACAAGTTCCTTCCGGTCCCTTTCTCTAACCAAAGGCTCATGATATCATATTGGAGGAGATACTAGGAGCGTTGATGCATAGCATAGGAACAATCACCTTTGAGAGAGACACTTCACTTCTCCACCTAAAACCTTAAGGTGATAGGTAAATGGGTTCTCCCACTTATTTCTATTCAATGTGGGACTATTTCCCCACTTACTCACACTTGCTATATTATTCCAACACTCCCCCTCAAGTGTGAGTCCACAATGCTCCCCCACTTGTACTGCACCACTTCTTGGGCAAATTTCAATACAAGTTCCTTCCGGTCCCTTTCTCAAACCAAAGGCTCATGATACTATGTTGGGGGGAGATTATTAGGAGCATCGATGCATAGTGTAGGAACAAGCACCTTTTTGAGAGAGACACTCCACTTCTCCACCTAAAACCTTAAGGTTTTAGGTGGATAAGTGGTGTGTCTCTCACAAAAGTGTTTAGTCCTACATTATGTATCAATGCTCCTAGTATCTCCCCCAACATTTATGTCATGGATGAGCATGATGTAGATAAGCACTATGCATAATAAAATGAAAAATGTGTTTGTGATGTTCATAAGAGAGAGATGATTGGCTTTTTTTTTGTTGCTCTTCTTCGGACATATGATCACTCCAATTGATTTTGAATTAAATTTTAAAATTGTGGTGGATAGCTTCTCTTATTCCAAAAATAGATTATATGGAATTTGATAATATTATAAGGTGATTAATATTTTAAATTAAATTAAAATATTATAAATTAATCAAACAATTAATATATTAAATTATTAAAATTAAATATAATAAATTATTAACTGACAAAGTTCGGGAATAGATTCAAGATAAATACTAGTCGAAGTATATTTTTTCTATCAAACTCGAGGCAAATTCAGGTGAATATCTACTAGTACAAGTATTAAGTGAGAGTAGTTAAATAGTTTTAGAGAAGATGAATAATTAGAAGTAGAGAACCGAACTAACTTGAAAACAATTCGAAATTCGGTTCAACAATTAAATAATTAAATTAGGTTCATGAACCAAATGAATTTGATATGAGTGAAAAACTAAGTTCGTTAACTAAATAAGTTGAACTAGAATTATACATAATTCGACCCAACATATTCATGAGTCAACTCAATTATATATAAGACAAATTATACTGTCTTTAAGAATTGGGTTAAAGATTTGCTCCAAATCTTAACTCTATATTTTCTTTTAATCTAACAATTTTAATTGATAAATTATATTATCAAGTGACCAATATATTTGAGAAAATAATTATATAAATAAAATTAACATCATATAAATTATATTTTTTACAAAAGTAATTTAAAAATTAACATATATTTTCTAATTTAAAAAATAGCTTCCAAATTTCTTTAATTTAAAAAAAAAATCAAATATATCTTCTAAATTTCTTTTTAATTTTAAAAAACATATTCTAAGACAAATTTTAATTTTATAATTTTGATTTTATTTTTATATTTTATATTTAAAAAATATTAATTTAAAATATCATATATATAAAATAAATTTTAAAAAAAGACTTTTAAGTCCGTGAAACAAGCAAACTGAACTTAGAGAGACTAATCAAACGATTTGAATCGAGTTGTTCGTGAACTTATAACAAGTTGAATTTGAGCTTAAAAAAAAATTGTGTCAAACTCGAATCAAGATTTGAGCTGAATAAATTTTTAACGAGTCCAGTCGAGTTGAGGTGAGTTTGACTCGACTCATTTTCGGCTCTAGTTAGAAGCAAAGAAAATGAAATACGTGTATTAAATGATTTCATTTGCCTAAAGAAGACATGACAACGTGAGACAATTTTTA